TATATATATATATATATATATATATATAAGTATTGAAAAACATATCATATGAATTACAATCAAATACACTTAAAAGGAATAACAAGAATGAAATGTTGTGGCAATTTTTATGTTACATGACCATCTATATATTTGCATCCACATTGGTTAGGTAATTTTTGAAAATTATTATTTCTTTTTTATTTATCATTTTCGCTATATGAGTTATTACATTTTCATTTATTTTATATTACTTTTTGAAGAAAAGGTAAACATCTTTACAGTTTACACTTCCTTTTTTTTTTTTTAAATTGCTTTTCTCGTTAATTGATAGTTGACTCATTTATATTTTGGGCTATCAATGTAGCATACAAAATTCAAATGTGGAGGAGTTTCATTGGGCCTAAGTTGGGCCCATGTACTTGGAGACGTATTCTCAGCCACTGAATTTATTAACTTTTTGGGAAAAGTAGTTGTTGGGTACAAACCAGCCCGGCCCATTAACTTGGCCAATTCATTGACCAAAGCAAACTCAACCCAAACCCTGCAAAAGATTGTGGAGGATCCACTTTCAGTAAAACGGGTCGGGCCAGTTGAAGATCATTGGATTGCTAACAATAGTTGCAAAATGGAGTCGTTTTCAATCCATGTTACTGCCTCCAAATTGGGCCAACTACAATCAAGAACAGAAATTCAAGGCCCATTTGAATCACTATGTGCTATTATTTGGAAGTCCATTTCTAAAATTAGAGATGGGCCTGAGCCCAAAATTGTGACCATTTGTAAAAAGAGTGAGGAAAAGAAAGAAGGCCTTGTTGGGAACAATCAAGTCATTGGTGTTGTAAAAGTGGATCACTCAATTAGAGAAGCTAATCCTAGTGATTTAGCAAGGTTAATTAAAAAGGAGATCATCGACGAGCGATTAAAGATCGATGAAGCCATCGAGAATGATCATGGAGTATCGGATGTGGTTGTTTACGGAGCAAATTTGACTTTCGTGAACATGGAAGGTGCTGATCTCTATGGATTCGACTGGAAGGGACACAAACCGACGAATGTAAGTTACTTTATCGATGGAGTTGGCGATGCAGGGACCATCGTGGTGCTTCCGACCGGGCCAAATGATTCTAGCAAGGATGGTGATGAAGGAAGGATTGTGACCATGACTTTGCCTGAGGATGAGATAATGAAGTTGAAATTTGAGCTAAACAAGGAATGGTCTATTGCTTGAAGTTAGATATATTTGTTTCATATTTGTTCAATTATTTAATTTGGTGTGAGGTCCTCCAAGCCTTTGTATTTAATAACTGCTCTATATAATGCTGTTTAGAGATTAGCTGGTATTTATTTTCTCCTGAAACTTTAAATTAAAAAGCGTAACTTTAGGACAATTCATGATATTTTCGTATTGAAAAATTAAATTGAACAACAGAAATTCAGGATACACTGGCTAATTTTTAAACAACAACCTTTAAAGTGGCTATCCGGTGTCATTTCTACTTTATATATATATATGTCTTTCTTCTAAAAAGCATTGGGCTCAAACTTGTAAACATAGGAGAATTTTAATTAGTGGTTGTTGGTTTGTAACATTACTTAAGTTGTGCTTTTAAACTTTTTTTTTGGTCAAGTGGAAAAAATTACTTAACCAAGTAAACAATATACATATATTAGCTCTTTTGACTCTAGAGTTAAAGCACACAAAAATAACCACTCCCAGTAAAGCCCAAAATAGAAAATAATCCTAATCTTTATTTTTTTTAACCAATTTTAGAGAATATGAAAGTATATAATCAACATATAATCGATGTGTACAATAATTATACACTTATTATAAAAAATTGTAAGGCTCGGCATTAAGAGAGAGATAATATATACATGTTCAATTTCAGGTAGACAGAATATGTAAGAAAAAGGGATTTTTTCCTTCCTATATCATATATGAAACTTTATTACCAAATATTGAGATAATGCATAAATACCCCATTAAACTTGTCCTGAAAAGCCATTTTCACATCTGAACTTTGGGGGTGTCCTAACACCCCACGATTGTTTAACAAACTGTATTTATTTACCCCCTCCGTAGACCTGGGGAGCTGCGCGTGTTTGACATCCAAAGTGAGCGCGTCATTTGTGTTTTAATTGTTTAAAACAGCCCAAAAAAAGGAAAAAAACATAATTCTTTAACGTTAAATAACCCCCACCAACGGTAAAAACCCATCGTCCCCAAATATTTACCAAAATCCAATGAAGAAACCTAACTTCTTCTTCTTCTTCTTCTTCTTCTTCTTCTTCTTCTTCTTCTTCTTCTTCTTCTTCTTCTTCTTCTTCTTCTTCTTCTTCTTCTTCTAATATCTGTCGAAAATCCATCAAAAATCCTTCTTGAAGTTTTAATACTTGTACCAATGCCTTCAAAAGGAAAGAATTTGACAAGGCTTTGCACGGAAGAGGAAGAAAATGATTCAAGTGGAGAAATTCGATGCAACCATGGCTATGTGCTGCCATTGTTAACAGCTTGGACCCCTCGGAACCCAGGAAGAAGATATTGGGTTTGTCCATACTATGGGGTAAATGTAACTTAAAATTGTTTCACTTATTGATTTGTGATAAATTATCATTCATTAATTTTGTTTTGTTAATCATCTTAGGGTCCTCGTTCTTGTGATTTTTGGGTTTGGAAAAATTCTAAAATTGATCCTAGATCCAAATTTGTTATTCCAAAGTTGCTTGAAAAAATGGGTGAACTTGAGAATGCATTAGAAGGCTTTGAAAATCTTGCCAAGTTGCGGACTACTGTAAAGGTTGAAAACACCATAGAAGATGACAAGATGAAAAAGATTGAGGTTCAGTTGGTGAAATTGCAAGATGATATGGAGAAGATGAAAGAGAAGGAAAAGAAGTGGAAGAGTCAATTAGCTAAGTCAAAGAGTAGGGAAAATGTAATATGATTCATTATATTGGGTATGTGTATTACTCTTGTTCCTTGTGGGTATCCAGAGATCTCATTGAAAAAAGATGCAATGAGGTTGCCATTTTGAATCTAGTTTAGGAATGTCACTATGAAACACTATATGTATTTGTATGTTTTGCTTATCAATGGAACTGTCAACAATATGTATTTGTAGTTCTCTATTTATCTTCTCAATATGGAAGTCTCATTTGTTGTTTCAATACACCCAAATGGGGAGACTGAACTTCAAACACTAAAACCAAACAATACAAACCCAGACATAACAGCTATGTAAGCTAAGTCTTTGAACTTCAAACACTAAAACCAAACAATACAAACCCAGACATAACAGCTATGTAAGCTAAGTCTTTGAACTTCAAACACTAAAACCATACAATACAAACCTAGACATAACAGCTATTTAAGCTAAGTGTTTGAACTTCAAACACTAAAACATATTGCATTACTTGCGTAAAAGTCACTGAGTGACATTACATAACAACAAAATAGAATTTCAGTCGACAAAACCAAAACATAATGGTAGTTTGTTACAAAGTAGTCTATAGCTACCTACATTAACTTGTCAACATACAGAATTGTTGTTTGCAAACCAAAAACAGTGGGGACAAAACCAAATAGAACTACAGTTTTCAAACAAAAGAAAGCTTCATCAGCTGGGTTGATTTGTATTGGTTGTGCTTTCTTGGCTCAACTTAGCAGCCCTAGACCTTATTTGAATGATCTTCTTGCCTCTCAATTGCTGTAGCTGCCTAGATGTCAAAGCTTCTTTACCCTTCCACTTTACACCTCTTGTTGGTCGATGGCCTAGATCTCCAGTAACTTCTGCCGAGGACCTCACATCTCTAAAGTTTGTAGATGACATCCCAGGCTACCACAAACCAACAGAAAATCAGAATTTGGAATCACCTAAATATCATAGCTTGTGTTGGACTTACATTTTAAATTTTGAAGCCACTTTGAGTGTGTAAAACACCCATCCCAACCATCCTTGGAGCCTTAAAATGTGTTCTTTGCTGAGTTCCAGAACAAACATCCTATATGAAACAAGAAAAATTAAAAATGTGGTAATTATTGAAAAAAGACAACAAGACATTAAAGGGAAGAAGTTCACCTTTTCTTTAGCACCTGTAGGCCTTCCCCCTCCTCTTCCAGTGCTTTGCTTTGGTGGCTTTGAACTACCAACACTTGTAGGCATAGAACTTGATGAGGTTGCAGCAGTAGACCTTCCAGCAGCCTTTGCACATCCCCTCTTGTTATGACCCTTGTTATGACAATTGCTACATGTCATTTCCACTCCACCCTTGGACAATTTTCCTGTCGTATTTTCACCAGGCTCTTTTCTTCTAACTTTCTTTGGCCTTCCAGGCATCTTGTTCACAGTAGGTGGTAAAACAGATGGATTTTGTGACTCTGGCCACATATTCATAGCCAAAACAGGCTGAAGAAAGTGGCTGTATGTTTTCATATAAGTTTCATTACTGTACCAATGAGAAATATAGTTTATAGGCTCCAGATTCTTGAAATGCAAGGCAGCAACTACATGAGCACATGGTATGCCTTTTAACATCCAAGCTCTGCAGGTGCAAGTTTGCCTATTGATGTCCACCAAATGCTTCACTTCAGTACTACCCATTCCTTGCTTCACTTCAAAACCATACTCACCATTCCAGAAAATGTTACACTTCATTGACCTTTCAGTATTCTCTTCTAAGACTTTCATGGCCATTGGTGAAAAATCAGTAATCCAAGTGTTTCCAAACTGTCTTAGCTGAGCTATTCTATTCATCATCTTCACCATAATTTCTTCCAGCATTGTCACTATAGTCTTCTGCCTTGCTGCCAAAATCCAGGCATTGAAACATTCTGCCATATTGTTATCAACACTATCACACTTGCAGAAAGTGTTGAAATAAACCTTACTCTATCTTTCAATATTGTAGAATAACAGTTCATCAACTATGTTACTCCCCAATTTCTTCATCTCATTCAGATTTTTCTTCAATTCCCATTCATATGTAGACCTTGCACACCTCCAGAAGTAGTTCCTTCTCTCTATGCCCCTCCATTTCTTTGACCAGTTAGCTAGGATGTGCCTGGCACACATCCTATGCTCAGAATTTGGTAGTAGGTCTGATATAGCATTTTCAAGTCCCTGAAACATTAACATAGGCAGAAAAAAGATGGTCAGGTTTGCAGCAGTAGCAAAAAACATAACATAAAAATAGTAGCATAAAAACAGATGGATTACCTGTAATGACCCGACCCGTTGATTAATTCATTTCAGTTCCGTAACCCCGTAATATGCTTCCCCGTGTGTTGATATCCGTGTCGGATGAGTGTGGGATGGTTCGGGTGGAATTTGGATAGAAATGAGACACTTAGTCTGTTTAAGGAAGGTTTAAATTGAAAGAGTTGACCCAAAGTTGACTTTCGGGTTAGAGAGCTCGGAACGGATTTACGATGGCTCGACTAGTTCCGGGGGATGATTTGTGACTCGTGTGCGAAATCGGAAGTGAATTCG